TGGCAGAAAGTGTTCAGAGTTTCGCTGAGGCAAAATCAGTGATCTCAACCTTATGGGTTATTTGATTTTCTTAAGAACCTTTTGGCAGCCCAAGTTGGCTGACAGTTGGATTTGTTCCAGGTTGGGGGTTATTTTCCCATATAGGTATAATAGAAGAGCAGTGTAGCAAAAGAATTTAGGATATATGAAGGCAGTGATTGAACTGACACCAGGTTTTCTTGGCTGAGTAGAGAAGGAAATAGAACAGAGATATTGGAATGAAAATTAGAGGATCAAGGGACTGAAAGCCTGAGTGAGGTCCCAGGCTTTAGTAGTGAGGGACTGTGGTTGGAGAGTGGGAAGTGAGCTTCAGTGGGAGCGTTTTTCCCAGTGCTGGCAGAGTCTGAAGTACAGCTGTTGTCACGACCGGCCTCAGTGGAGTGGAAGTTGTGTAAGTGTTGTAGGACAGGGGACCTCTTCCAGAGCCCAAAGGTGGTCTCTTGTCTAACACTCAGAAATGAGTTGTCTGAGTAGATAGAGATGCTGACAGAGCAAGAGACTTTATTGGGAAGGGACGCCCAGGCAGAGAGCGGGAGGGTAAGGGAACCCAGGAGAACTGCTCTGCCACATGGCTCAAAGTCACAGTCTCGGGTTTTATGGTAATGGGGTTAATTTCCAAGTTGTCTGACCAGTCATTTTAACTCAGGGTCCTTCCTGGTAGCACATGAATTCCTCAGCCAAGATGGATTCTAGCAAGGAGGATTCTGGGAGGTGGTAGAACACATGGCCTCTCCTTTTGACCTTTCCTGAACTCTTCCAGCTGATTGTGGCTTATTAGTTCTGTATTCCTTACTGGAACCGCCTGTCATAAAATAACTGATGCGAATGGTTACTATAGTGCCTGGCCAGCATGGCAATTTCAATCAGTGTGTTTTCCTTAAGATAAGGTCTTTGGAGTTGAAGTCAGAGAACTCAGAAATGTGTCTGGATGTGAATTGTGGCTGTCATCTGTGAGGATGTTGAAAAATCTTCCAAGAAAACATCAGGACTTTGGGATGGGAAGAAAGCTGTGAGCCACACTGTATTGTCTTCAGTGAGTGCCAGGAAACCAGTAGGCAAAAAAAGCCCTCAGTAATGGGCTATTCAGTTTTTATCTGACTGGTTTTTAATATTTATTTTTATTTTTTTGGCTTCTCCAGGTCTTTTCTTTCACAGCATGTGAACTATTAGTTGCAGCATGTGGAATCTAGTTCCCTGACCAGGGATCAAACCCAGGCCTCCTGCATTGAGAGTGTGATGTCTTAGCCACTGGACAATCAGACAGTCTTGATTTGACTTTTTTTTAAGCTTAAAAATGGCAGGCTTGTTCCATTTTCTTAAATTCTTGAAATTCTCCAGACAAGCATACTGGAGTGGGTAGCCATTCCCTTCTGCAGGGGATCTTCCTGATCCAGGGGTGAAACCTGGGTCACCTGCATTGCAGGTAGATTCTTCACCATCTGAGCCACCAGGGAAGCCCATAGCATACCAAATAGCAACAATTATTGTTTGGACTAGCAGCGTGATACTTACTACCAGCTTTTCCCTATTACTGGTTATTTGGGGTTTTTTTCTGTTTTCCCACTTAATGACTAAATAGCTCTTTATCATTTTAATCTTGAGTTTCAGATTATTTACATATACTCAAGAATGGAACCTTGGAAATGGGTCAGAAAACAATGTGGGCACCTTTAAGATTCTTGTATAATCTTTCTGGAAAGGAGTTTGTTGTTATAGGCTAATTGGTATTTCCATCATTATTTCAATTCTTTTCATTTGACTCTTGGAAGCCTTGTATTTTCATGCCATTGGTCTTTCCTGCAAGTAAAAATGTTCTCTTGTTGTTATTTTCCTTTGATTTGTGGAGATAGTCAGCACTTTTTTGCGTGTTTTCTTAGCTGTTTCTTTTTCTCTTTTGTACATTATGTTTAGGTTTTTCACATTTTTCAGAAATGGAATATTCCGTATTAATATGAGTTCTTGCTTTAATTATTTGTTTTGTGACAGTTTTCCCAGTTCCTTACCTTTTTTAAGGAATAGACTTTATTTTTTAGAGCAGTTTTATATTCACAACAAATTTCAGCAGAAAGTATAAAAAGTTCCCAAATTGTCCCTGTTCCCATACACATGCAACCTCCCCCACTGTTGACATCCCGCACCACAGTATACACTTACAACAGTTGATGAACCTACATTGACATCATTATCACTGAGAGTCCATAGTTTACATTAAAGTTCACTTCTGATGTTATACATTTTCTGTGTTTGGACAAATGTATAATGACATGTATCCACCCTTGTATTACCATACAGAATAGTTCACTGCCCTTAAAATCCTCTGTGCTTCACCTATTCATTCCCCTCTCCTCCCTAACCTAGCAACCACTGCCTCCAGAGCCTTGCCTTTTCAAGAATTATCGTATAGTCAGAATCATACAGACTGTAGCCTTTTCATATTGGTTTCTTTTACTTAGTAATATTCATTTTTCTCCATTTCTTCATGGCTTGGTGGCTCATTTCTTGTTAGTGCTAAATAATATTCCATGTTCTAGATGTACTACAGTTTGTTTATTCATTCATCTACTGAAAAACACCTTGCTTGCTTCCAAGTTTGGCAGTTATGAATAAAGCACATTTCTATATGGGTATAAGTTTCTAATTCTTCTTGGGTAAATACCAAGGAGCACAATTGGCTGGATCGTATAATAAGAGTAAGTTTAGTTGTGCAAGAAACCAGCAAACTACCTTCCAAAGTGTCATTCCCACAGTGAAGGATAGTTTCTGTGGCTCCACAGAGGCACTGGGAGTTGGTGTTGTCAGTGTTTGGTATTCTGATAGGTGTGTAGTGATGTCTCATTGTTTTACTTTGCAATTCCCTAATGACATATGCTGTTAAACATCTTTTCATTTGCTTGTTTGCCATGTGTATATCTTGCTTGGTGAGGTGTCTGTTCAGGCTTTTGACCATTTTTTTAATCAGCTTGATAATTTTTTTATTGTTGAGCTTTTAGAGTTGTTTATTTTGGATAACAGTCCTTCGGCTAATGTGTCTTTTGCAAGTATTTTCTCACAGCCTCTGGCTTGTCTTATCATTCTCTTGATTTTGTCTTTTGCAGAGCAGAATTTTTTAGTTTTGATGAAGTGCAGTTGATTATTTTTTGATGGCACTATCTTTGGTGTTGTATCTTAAAAGTCATTGCCATACCCAAGGTCATCTAGATTTTTCTCTTGTGTTATCTTCCAGGAGTCTTTTGCATCTGCATCTTGGTCTGTGATTCATTTTGAGTTAATTTTTGTGAAGAGTATAAGATCTGTGTCTAGTTTTTTGTTTTTGTTTTTCTTGGTATGTGTATGCCGAGTTATTCCAGCCCCATTTGTTCAAAAGACTGTCTTTGCTCCATTGTGTTGCCTTTGCTCCTTTGTCAAAGATCAGTTGACTATATTTGTGTGGGTCTTTATCTGGGTTCTTTCTTGTGTTCCACTGGTCTGTTTGTACCACACTGCCACTCTTTGCTGTATCTTTCTTTGCTTTTTTATATTACTATTTGCTTTTAAATTAATAGCAATTCTCTGGCTTTACTCTGCTTCTTCAGTATTGAGATGGCTGTTCTCCATCTTTTGCATCTGCATATAAACTTTAGAACTAGTTGTTGATATCCACAAAATAGCTTGGTAGTATTTTGATTGAGATTGCAATGAATCTGTAAACCAAGTTGAGAAGAACTGATGTCTTGACAGTATGGAATCTTCCTGTCCATGAACATTGTTTGATTGATTTCTTTCAAAATTTTTTCTATTGCCAGATATTCCATTTTTCCTTTGTGATTTTTTAAAATTTATTTTTCTATTGAAAGATAATTGCTTTACACCTTTGTGATTTCTTACATTGCCTTTATGTCTATAAAATCCTTCCTCATTATGAATATATTCATTTATTTCCTTTTAAAATGTGTCTATAAACATTTAATTCTTCTGTATTTTATTTTGTTACATGGAATGAAGTGATGGTCTAGCCTGCTTCCTCCAGATACATTGTTATTTTTCACAAAACCATTTCCTATTGATTTATCTAGAGTATACATGAATACATACACAATAATCAGCCTTCCAATCTGTTTCCTAACCCTTATGGAGGAAATTGTATGCTCTCCCCATTTTGGGTAACAGTCAGGTGGGAAGAGTGGGGAACTGGTCAAATCACATATGGTTATACCTCGGCCATTGGCTGAACCCAGTTCCCTGCTAGGCGTGATTGCTGGTATACATCCTGGAGGGTGTATAAACCACCTACATCTCTCCACCCTCCCTCAGAGATTTTCATGTTCCCCTCGGAGAGGCATGTTCTGATTGCCTTGGAGAGTCACTGCCACATTAAATTACCTCTGTGCTATGAGTCCCATGAAATTGGGACCTTGGAGTATATTGTTCCCTAGTTGTTTCCCTGATACCTAGCTTAGTATCAGGCACAGACATCTAAATGGATGAATAAACCTCTGTTACCAGTGTGAATGGGCCACAGCCCTCTGATATGGTTTGAAGAGAAATAAAGTTTGAGGACAGCTGTATAATGTCTGTTTTGGAGGTCAGTACATCCATGCAGTCAACCTACCTTCTCAGTGTTTCTCATTCTGAAGACACTAAAGCTGCAATTACCTAGGAAGCTTTTAAAAGGACTGCTACCTACCTCTCACTCCCTGAGATATAGTCTGGCACAGAATTTTGTTGTTATTAAGCTCTTTGAGTGATTCTAAACTATAGCCAAGATTGAGAATCACTGCTCTTACTTATAGTTGTATAAACTTTCAGTTAAGTAGTTGGATTCCTGGAAAGTTGTGCTTATCAGACTCCTAAAAGATCTTTGGTCCTGTGTGTGCACTTTAATAGCTAGGAAGAATTTGCCCAAAATATTCCTTTGGTGAGTTGTTTGGACATAGTTTTACAGTATTTCAGTACTGTATCTAAAATGGCTCTCTGTTTTCCAGGTCAGCATGGATTCCTGGTTCCTTCTTACTCTGCTTGGCAGTGGTCTGATACATGTTGGTGCCAACAACAGTACCATAGGTAAATTGCCATTTGATAAGATTGGTACTTGGAATAGAATTTTATTTTTTAATTTTTATTTTAATAAAATTAATAAATTTTATGCATTTATTTTTAATTTTTATTTTAATAAAAATTAATAAATTTTATTTATTTATTTATTTTAAACATAAATAGTATTTATGTTTAGTGACCCAAGTTTGAAGACCTTGGTGGTACTAAAGAAAGAAAAACTTAATATTAATTAAGTTTTACTTAAAAGTGATGGCAAAATAAGTTATCTTTGGGAATGTCTTGGTCATATTGTATGCTATACTCAGCATTGTTCTATATACCACATACTACTTCAAATAAAGATATTATATTCATTCCTGAAAAGGAAAACAAAATGGTTGCTATTTAAGACTCCTGTATATTGACTCTGAGGAGCTAACTAAGAGACCAGTTTTTCCCTCCATTAGACAGCAAACTTTTAGAAGTGGAGGGACAGATTCATCGTTTAAAGGGTCTATGCTCCTTGAAATATACCTGGAGAAAATTGTGCTTCAAAAAGATATATGCACTCTTATGTTCATAATAGTACTATTCACAATAGCCAAAACATGGAAGCAATCTAAATGTCCATCTACAGATGAATGAAGATGTGGTACATATATACAATTGAATACTACTCAGCCATAAAAAATAATGAAATAATGTCATTTGCAGCAGCTTAGAAATTATCATACTAAGTCAAGTAAGAAAGAGAAAGACAAATACCATATATCACTTATATGTGGAATCTAAAATATGGCATAAATGAACCTATCTATGAAACAGAAATAGACTCACAAACAGAGAACAGACTTGTGGTTGCCAAGGAGGCGAGGGGAGGGATTGCCTGTTAGTTTGAGATTGGTAGACACAACCTACTATATTTAGAATGGATAAACAGCAAAGTCCTGCTATTACAGCACAGGGAAATATGAGCTGGGACAAACCATAGTGGGAAAGAATATTTAAAATGAACGTGTGTGTGTGTGTATAACTGAGTCACTTTGCTGTGCAGCAGAGATTAGCACAACATTGTTAATCAACCGCACTTTAATTTTTTAAAAAGAAAATAAAAAGTGTGTGTGTGGTGTGTTTATTGGTCTCCAAGTGTTTGAGGTGTAGTAGGGCTTGCTGCTTTGTGTCTCATAACTTTTGAGATCTCAATTCTTTGTGTGATGTTTTCTTGGTTTTTTTGGTGTTTGTAGTTTCACCTTCAGTAGGCGTTACGAGATCTATGAAAGCATCTACAACAGAATCACTTAAAGAAGAGAACAAAACTTCAAATCCTACTCCTTCAGTAACTTCTTCTTCCTTGGCACCAACATTCAGCCCAAATCTAACTCTGGGACCCACATATGTAACCACTGTCAATTCTTCAGACTCTGACAATGGAACCACAAGAACAGTAAGCACCAATTCTGTAGTCACTACAATTTCACCAAATGGAACATGGCTTCCAGATAACCAGTTCACAGATACCAGAACAGAACCTTGGGAGGGGAATGCCAGCACTGCAGCAACCACTCCAGAAACTTTTCCTCCTTCAGGTACTAGAGATGGTTTCTGTTTGTTCTTTCTTTGGCTCTTTGAGTTTATTCACCCTTTTATTGTTATTGTTTGTGTTTTCTAGCCATAAAATTTCTTGAAATAAGTAAAATTGCCCAAGCAAAGTAATGAAACCTAGATATAGGGGATTCTCAAGAATATCTGGTTAACATAGAATTAAGAGGAAAGAAGATAGGGGACTTCCCTGGTCGTCCAGTGGTTAAGACTCCATTCTTCCAGTGCAGGAGGCACAAGTCCGATCCCTGTTCAGGAAACTGAGATCCAGCACACTGGCAAAAAAAAAGAGGAAAGAAGATAGATTCTGGAGGATATTCTGCTTTGCATGGAATCCTGGTTAGATTAGGGATGCTTAATGTTTAAAGATAGAGAAGAAGGTTGAAAATATAAGAGAAAGGATAGGTAATTGATGATGCTAGAAACTGAGGTTGAAAGGATAGTGTAATTGAGTAATAGGATTAGCCTTGAAAAGGAAGGAATCCCTGGAGACCATGGGAAGGAGAACGGACTTGGGTATCTATAACAGTTAGATAAGAGTAGAAGACCTGTGGCCAGGAGTAGACTTACTAAGAGAAGATCAGGGAAACAGTTAAGTTACAGTGCCAGTTTGTTCAGGGCCTGCACCAACCCGCTTCTCCTTGAGTCAGTCACTGAGGTGCAAGTGGCTTTGAAGATCGAATCAGAGACCTGAGTATGAGGCCACAGAGGGGAGGGCAGATTTCCAAGGACTTGGAAGGGCCCTCTTAGGGCTTCTGTGAGTAGTAAGAGGAAGTAATTATTCCTTGACAGCTGTATAAGTGTCATTCCTTTTCTAGCAAAAATCAGTTACTCTTCTTTGGTCTCATCCCCATGGCTCATATTTTTTACTTGTTAGATGGTGAGTGCCCCTAGGTGGAATCACATATGGCTCACGAACTGTCATTTGCTGATGACATCTTTTAGCTAGACCTTACAACTCAGACCCTGCACTTGCCAGCTTTAATCCCATATTTTCCACTTGAGTTTGAATCCAAACTCTGCTGTACCCTAGCTTTGTGACAATAGGCAAGTTTATTTAACCTCTGTACTTCAGTTTTGTCATCAGTATATAAGAATGAATGATGTTGATAGTACTTAATTCATGAAGGAGCTGTTAGCATTAAACAGGTTAATATGAGTAAAGCATTTATAATGGGACCTGCATATGGTAAGCACTAATTTTAAGTGTTAGGCATTGTACTAAGAGTTTTATAGAAGTAATTCACATGAAGTATCCTGTGGATTCTGTTACGTTGGTTTCTGTTTTACGTTTATAGGTGAAGGAATTTTACTGTGTTTTTCAAAGTACAAATGATGACTGATTCATGAAATCAGTTTAGTGGACCACTACAGATCTGTGTGTGTGTGGATTGTCCTTTTCAATTTTTATTCTTTCCATGTTAACTTATTTTGTAAAACTTCGGTTTAAGTTATACACAAACATTTACTAAGTAATGGTATAAAAATGTATTTCTTTCTGTAAATTATGGCCTTTGCTTAGAGAGGAAAAACAAAACTTGTGCAAGCTGAACTAGTAAATAGAAAAGGTGAGACTGTCACTAACTTCACAGACTATGTTTTTGTTGTTTTTTTGGCTGTGCTGGGTCTTCTTTCTCTAGTTGTGGTACACAGGCTCTAGAGCACGTTGGTTCAGTAGGTGTGGCGCATATGGTGATCGGGGATGGAACATACATCCCCTACATTGGAAGGTCGATTCTTAACCACTGGACCACCAAGGAAGTCCCATGGCTTATGTTCTTAACTTAATGTTCTGTTCTGTCTTTCACTTAATAATCTGTGAGGTGACCATTGGTAATTACCTCTTTTCTTAGTAGATGTTTGATGTAAGACCTTAAAGGTTAAATAATTTGCCTTATATCTGAAGGCTGTCAGGTAGCAAATTAGACCTATTTCTCACTTCTATGGTCTTTCCACACTGCTGCTGAGATTTCTGTAATCTGCTGTAGATCCAAATTACGCCATAGCTGAGAAGCCAGTTATTGAACAGTTAACACATTTCGTATCTCAGAGGAAGTTGTGATGGTGTTTCACTGGTGACTGTTACTCAAGATCAGTAAAAGGAGAACTTCAGGGCTTCCCTGGTGGCCCAGACAGCAAAGCGTCTGCCTGCAGTGCGGGAGACCTGGGTTTGATCCCTGGGTCGGGAAGACCCTCTGGAGAAGGAAATGGCAACCCACTCCAGTACTCTTGCCTGAAAAATTCCATGGACAGAGGAGCCTGGTAGGCTACAGTCCATGGGGTTGCAACGAGTCGGACACAACTGAGCAACTTCACTCACTTTATGGTATATCAGGATGTTACATTCTGTAACCCCATATCCTCCTCATTTAGCACCATTTTACCAATCCTCCCATAATTGTTATATCATAACTTCTGTAATACTATTCCTGCTTACCTGTGGGTATAATGTGAAATTGCCTTTTATTTGTTTGTTTAGTTTTCTGTTTACTGTTGATAGCCAGTTCTTCCTGCACTTCCCATAGCTTCATAGTACAGTTTTCCATAAAGTCAGACTTACTAGATAATCTGTTATTTCTTTTTTGCGTGTCTAAAAATATCTTCAGGGGAGTGTATAGAATTTGAGGAAATATTTTTTTCCCTAGAATTTTTAAAGCATTGTCCTGACTTCTAATTTGCAGGCTTGGAGAATTGTACTGCTGTCTTGTTTCCTAATTGTGTGTTTTTAAAGATCATCTCTTCATCATTGGTGCCTTGAAATCTCATAGAAATGGATCTTGATGTGGGTCTTTTTCTTTCATTCGTTATTTTGGGATAGGACCTTTGGAGTTTTCGTCCTTCAGTTCGGAAAAATTTTCTTGTATCTGTTCAGAAATGTCCTTCCCCCTTCCATTTTTTCTGTCTTCTTCTAAAAATCCTTATTATTTGGATATTGGACTTATCCTGGATTAATTTTTTGATCTTAATTTTTCTTTCCTATTGGCCTTTTGAGTTTTTTCTTTTTTAAAATAAGCATGCAAACAAAAATAAGCATGCATACATACTTATACATATCTTTTTTCTTCCATTTATAACACAGATAATAAATGTACTGTGTATATTTCTTCACCTTACTTCTTTTCAATTAGCCTGTCATACTTTTTCTACGTTATAGTAAGGAGCTGCCTCGTTGTATGGCATTACTTTGATGTATTTATCCATTCTGCCATATTAGCCATCATTAAGGCTGATTTTACACTTACCGACAGTAGTCTTGGGAGAATATAGGTTGAATAGAGTATTTTTAGTGCACATTTGTAAATTTAAATTGAATATTGTGAGATCTCCCTCTTTTAAGCTGTGTGTCAGAATGCCTGTTTTCCTACATTTTCTTCAGTGCAATAAATTATCAAACACCTGGATCTATGTCAGACTGACAGGTGAAAATTATTATCTCAGTGTGACTTGAATTTGCATTTTACTGAGTGAGATTGAGCATCTTTCCATATTTAGACGGATCATTTATATTTCCTTCTTTCTTTTCTTTTTTTGAGAAAACTCTGTTGCTACCCTTTACCCATTTTTTTATTAGTGTGTCAAGCTTGTCACTAGTTTCTGGTTCCAGCCCTTGGGAAGGTGGAACAGAGGAAATAGTACAATTTCTTCCCAGAGGATGTGACCCAACTCATTTATAGAAGGTCTTTGATGTTAGCAAAAGGAGCCCTTTTATGAGTGCAATAATAAGATTACAGTTATTTCCCCTAGTTGTTCATCCAACTTTTCTGCATTGTAGAAACTGTTACTATCAGCTATTAATTTTTTTAATTAAAAACTTACAGGTTTGTGGGATTTCTCTGGCTTTCCAGTGGTTAAAATTCTGCACTGCCACTGCAGGAGATGCAGGTTCAATCCTGAATCGAGAACCCAGGATCCTGCATGCTGCGCAATGGAAAAAAGAAATGGATTTGTGTTAACTAAATGTGTTCTAGGTATTAGATCATATATAAAAAGCCATTCCTTACACCAGTATTATAAAATAATTTTCTTTTATTATTTTCTTTTATACTGTTTTTTTCTTCTGTGTGTATACATGTGCATGTATGTGCCTGCACTAAAATCTTTGTTTCATCTGGAATTTTTTCTGACATAAAGTGTGAACTGTGGATATATATTTTTTTTTTTTCCTAAATGACTAGCTGATTGTCCCCAATACCCTCTAATGAATAATCTGTTTTTCCTCAGTGCTTCAAAATGCCACCTTTATTATATGTTGAGTTCTGATGCATATTTAGGCTTTCATATGTATTTGAGTTCTGTTTCTGGGTATTTGTATTTTCTATTAACTTTTTTCTCTGTTCTTGTTCAGAATCCCACTGTTTTAATAATTTTAGCTTTATAAAATACTTAATATCTGATAAAGTGAGTCATCCCTGTTAACCTTATTTTTCAGAATTTTGCTGGTAGTTCTTGATTATTTTTCTTCATGAATGTTAGAATCAACTTATTGTATAGCTGGAAAAAGTTCTTATTGGTCATGTTAAGTTTTTAGATTAACAGGGACAGTTGATATCTTTAATTTTTCCTGTCTAAGAATGCTGTATATTCCATTTGCTGAAGTCTTTCATTTTGTATTTCTTGAAAGTATTTTAAAATTTTTACCACTTGTGTGGTACATGTTTTATTCAGTTTATTTCTAGATATTTATTGTTTCATTCCTGCTTAAAGAGTATTTATGTTAAATTTTGCCAGTTGCCTGCCCAGCATCAATGAGCAAGATCTGTATGATTTTTTCTATTATATGCTACAGTATATCATATTAATCAATTTCCTATTTTTCAACTATTTACATTCCTGCACAAACAGCTCCACTTGGTCTTATATTTTTCTTGACTGAAGTGTTGTGATTTATTTCCTATTTTCTATTGTAAATTTTTCCATTGATATTTCCAAGTTATTTCTAAATGAGATTGGTATTTGTGTTTCCTTTGTATATAGCTAGTTTTGATAAGTTTTATTAGTCGATGTTTTGCTTTGCTTTATGAAAAGAATTGAAGTTCACTTAAAATTTTCATTTTGTTCAGGTTTTCAAAATTACTTAAATAGATTTGAGGAAAAGTCATCCTTTAGGGTTAACTTCTTACATCCCTATGAGTATTTATTTTATATATTTAAGTCCTTTTTCCTGTTTAGGTTGACTAACCTATTTAATCATTTGTTGCTTTTTCCTTCTCAGAAATCTGCAATAAATATTGTATATTTTATTAGTTCTGTCATTTTTCAGTTTTTATTTCATTAATTTCTCTTTTATTCTTATTTTTTTCCTGCTTTTCTTAGATTTATTTTACACTTTTTCTATCTTCCCTAATTGAATGCTTCATTTGTGTGTTTTCATTCTTAATTAATATGTATGTAATGCTATGAAATTTTATAAACACAGCTTTAGGCATACCCCATAAATGCTCCTGTAGGTAGATAGTTAGGGTGTGGTCTAAGCTATTCTGACAAAGACATACCAAAATTCTTTGGTCACAGAAAGACACAAAAATGCCCTTCCCCTGTCACATTCCATAAGTAGGGGGCTGGGACGGGCTGGTGCTTTGCTTTGTCAGAAACCAAATTTTTCCTTTTTTCTTGTGGCTCTGGCATGCTGACAGTTGCCCTCATCTGTGTGATCAGACATGGCTCTTATCACTGGATTCTGGTTCCAGCCCCTGGGAAGGGGAAACAAAGAAAATAGTACAATTTATTTTCTAGAGGGTGGGACCCAGAAGTTACTCTTCTCCCTTTTGTTCACATCCTGTTGACTGGAATTCTTCATATGATTACACCTAGAGTATCAGAAATTAAGTCTCTTAACTGGACAGCTTTGTGCTCACCTAAAAAGGAGGGATGTTCTTTACTAAGGGCAAAAAGAGGAAGAGACTAATGGGAGAAAGGTGGTAGATTTCTACCGCAAATGTGATTTGTTATTTTTTAGATATTTTGCAGTTTAATTTGTTGTGTTGGTTTCTGCCGTATAACAGTGTGAGTCAGCCATAAGTATACATATGTCCCCTCCCTCTTGAACTTTCCTTACAATTTGGTTTTGATTTTAATTTTGAAGTATTTTCCTACTTTGTTAATTTCTAGTTTTACTGCATCATGATAAAAGAATGTTGTCTGTGCTGTTTCTCCTATGAGGAATTTATAAAGGCTTGTGGATGTTCCATAAGCCTTTGAAAAAGTTTTCTCTGTTAGTATATAGAGTTTGATTTATGCCATTTAGATTTCATTATCTATTATCATTTAGGTCTTTTATGTTTTTAACTTAATTTTGTCCTGTTGCATTTTGATGGCCTAAAAAGACATAAGGACCACAAGAACCACTGTGTTTATATTTCTCTTTGCATTCTTGTACATTTTATGAGCATTGATGCTGTGTTGTTTTTGTCCTCAGGGAGAAGGCCAAGATCATTGATAAAAGTATAATGAATCTGGGCACTCTTATTTCCTAGTTGTTGGCGGGTGCCTCATTCCAGCTCCAGCATATACAAGGGAAAAATATCCATATTCCTAGAGCTTATTTTGACTTACATTAGGTTGAATAATAATGTTTTTCTTTAATCTGAGTGAACATTTCTGTTTTTTTTACTTATTACACAGGTAATTCTGACTCGGACAAAAGAGGTGAGCCATTCACCTTATGTCTCTTGTCCTTTTTATAGTATACAATATCTGTTGTGTTTCCTCTGCTCAATCTGTGTAACTTTGTGCACCTCTGGCTGTTATGTGTTTATTTTTCTTTAAATTGTTTCCATAATAACCTCATGGAGAAGAGTAACAGAAACAAATATTCATTGTTTTTAAACGTAGATGTTTTTTCCGTAGTCTATAAAATGTTGGCCTTTTGTCACTTTATATGGTTTTCAGCCCTGTCATGTAAAGTCCCTATTGCAGAAGATGCTGTGTCAGTGGTCAAAGCAGGACTGTGAAATCCCTGGTCACCAGAGAATAGAATACATAGATCCTCATGTGTAGAAGTGCACATTTTGATTAGGTAATAGTAAGGCTGCCGTCATGGAGTAGGAAATGGAAACCCACTCCAGTATTCTTGCCTGGAAAATTCCATGAACAGAGGAGCCTAATGGCTTCATTCAGTCCGTGGGCTCACAAAGAGTTGGGCATGACTGAGCAACTGAGCATGCACGTAAGGATACCAGTTTAAGGTAGATTATCAAACGGTCTAAGAAATTATCATATATTTGTTTGGAAGATATTAATCTGTGAAACAGTTTTTCTTATTCTGATTTCCTATTTATCAAATCAGACTTCTTGAGATTTTTTCTGATTCCATTATTTAACCATGCACAGTTTTTCTGCATAAGTAAGGGAACACTTGCTTGCTTATGAAGTTCTATTACATAGAGAATATTTGAATCAGAAAAACAGACAATACTCTGTACAGCAACTATAATTTTTTTTAATATATTAGGGGGAAAAAGTAGATACTCCAGCCCTTTATTTGTTGTCTGTCTACCACTGTGTTTGGTGAGGAACAGTGAAGTGTTACCATATTATGTACAGATTTTGCTTGATTTTCCAGCTCTTGCTTTCTTAAACTCGGGAACTTGGTTTGACTAATGCAGTGCCCTTATTATTCACTTTCAGTTACTGGAGTCTCACTCTCAAATGTAGAACTTAATTAGATTTATGTTGCAATATATACTTGAATTTGCTCCCTAAAACTGCTCTTTTAACCAATCTTACAATAAAATCAAAAGTCAAAGAGGTAGGCTTCAAAATTAAACATAAGATCTGTGATTCCTTCCTACTTCCTAATTAGTGTGTATTTTGGTGACTCAGACGGTTAAGAATCTGCCCGCAATGCGGGAGACCTGGGTTTGATCCCCAGGTAGGAACAATCCCCTGGAGAAGGAAGTAACAACCCACTCCAGTATTCTTGCCTGGAGAATTCCGTGGACACAGGAGCCAGACAGGCTACAGTCTGTGGGGTCACAAAGAGTCACAACCAAGTGACTAACACTTTCACTTTCTTTTCTTACTCTTCAGCCTTTTTCTTGCCCCAGATACTATCCCTGTTATATCTACCTGACTAATATGGATTTTATTACTCTGATTAAAAAGAAATAAATTACTTTAATTATCTAGATTATTGCTAATTGTGACACGCTAAGGATCCATCTAGTCAAAGCTATGGTTTTTCCAGTCGTCATGTATGGATATAAGAGTTGGATCATAAAGAAGACTTAAGTGCTGAAGAATTGGTGCTTTTGAACTGTGGTGTTGAAGAGTTCCTTGGACTGCAAGAAGATCAAACCAGTCCATCCTAAAGGAAATCAGTCCTGAATATTCATTGGAAGGACTGATGCTGAAGCTCCATTACTTCGATCACCTGATGCAAAGAGCCAACTCATTAGAAAAGACCCTGATTCTGGGAAAGATTGAAGGCAGGAGGAGAAGGGAATGACAGAGAATGAGATGGTTAGATGGCCTCACCGACCCAATGGACATGAGTTTGAGCAAGCTCTGGGAGATGGTAAAGGATAGGGAAGCCTGATATCCTACAGTCCTTAGGGTCTCAAAGAGCTGGACCTGACTGGACGACCGAACAACAATGTAATAAATGTTTTAAGTTTAAAAAATAATTTTGTGTAACTGCCTTTAACCAAATAGGAAAATGAAGACGCATACATAGTCTCAGCCTCATATGTAATGATGATTTACTAGAGCCTATCTTTAGAAGTATTACTATAAATTTTGATATCACATTCTAATTTTAAAGCCAAGTGCTTTTTGACAAATGAGGCTTTTGTTTTGAAGTATCTGTATTATGTTGGGTTTGCTAAGCGAATGATCTCTTATGTAGGTGATTAAGGGTTATAAATTTTTATGCATTGATCTTTGATATGTTTTTAAACAGCAGGAGCTGGTGTTTTAATTGACAGAGCATAAAAGAATAAAAAGAGAGGAAGGGAGGCAAGCTGCTTTGCTTCCTTTCTTTCAGAGCTGAAGAAGCTGTTTAGTGGGCCAGAAAGTTCCTTCACTTTTTAAGTAAAAATAAAAGACGTATTTTTCATTTTTACCAAGAACTTTACTGATCCACATATTCACTGTTTTGTTCCACTGTCTTCAGCCATTTTTCAGACAGTTTCATAATTCCATCTTGCCCAGACTTTTATCTTTTTGAGCAAAGAACTGTCAGGTGCCTTTTATAGTCTTTTAGGGAATTGAAATTTCTTCCATTAAGAGAATTTTGTAAAGACCAAAATAAATGGAAATCTGAAGGTGCAATGTCTGATGAATACAGTGGATGAATCAGAACTTCCCAGCCAAGCTGTAACAGTTTTGGCCATCAAAGAAACATGTGGTCTTGTGTTATCCTGATGGAAGGTTTTGCGTTTTCTGTTGACTAATTCCAGACGTTTTTTGTTGAGTGCTGCTTTCAGTTGGTCTAATCTAAAGCAATACTTGTTGGAATTAATCGTTTTTCTGGAAGGAGCTCATAATGGAGAACTCCCTTCCAATCTACCATGTACACCACATTACGTTGTTTGGATGAAGACCAGCCTTTGGTGTGATTGGTCATGGTTCATTTCACTTGCTACACAGTCACTTCTGTTCCACATTATTGTACAGTATCCACTTTTCATCACCTGACACAATTTGTTTTAAAAACGGAACATTTTCATTACGTCTCAGTAGAGAATCACATGTGAATATACAGTCAAGAAGGCTTTTTTCCGCGTAACTTATGTGGAACCCAAACATCAAAGCAATTAGCATAACCAAGCTGGTGCAGATGATTTTCAACACTTGATTTGGATATTTTGACTATGTCAGCTATCTTCCATGTGGTATAATATTATGTCTCTTGATCACTATCATCTTTAACTGGTCTACTTGACCGTCAAGCATTGTCCATCGAGAAATCTCCAACATGAAACTTTGCAAACCACTTTCAACATGTTTGATCAGTTGAGGCACCTTCTCCAAGCGCTGCACAAATCTTTCTTTGCGTTTCAGTGGCATTTTTACCTTTCTTGAAATAATAATATGTTGAAAATGTTGCTTTTTTCCTTCCATCTTCAGTATTAAAATATCTACACAAAAATTCACCAATTTTGATACTAAAAAAAATACATGCTGACATGACAGCTGTCACAATACAGTCTTAACAAAATTGTTTCAAAATAAAGTTAAAGACAACTGAGCACTACTAAAGCCATCTTACCAAAAAAACAAAACAAACTTTTTGGCCAACTCAGTAATTATTTTCTCATGTGTATTATTTATTAAATGTATTCCGAATTATTTTGGTGGAGCCAGCCTTTTCCTAATTTTGAAAAATATAAGATTTACCATTTTAACCACATAGTTCAGTGGCATTAAGTACATTCACATTGTTATGCAATCATCACTACCATCTGTCCCCAGAATTTTTTTTTAATCATCTCAGACTAAAACTCTGTAGCGCGTTAAGCAGTAACTCCATGTTTCTTCTTCCCCTAGCCCCTGGTAACCACTAATATACTTTCTATCTCTATAAATTTGTCTGTTCTATGTACCTCAGTTAAGTGGAATCACAACATTTGTTCTTTTGTAACAAGCTTTTCTTTTAAAACATTTTCACTGGTGTTAGTTTGTGTGACTGGATGATTCGTGTAATATACAGTAATGTGTTAAACCTAATTCTAGCATTACCTACCAAAGTACAGTGGTCATGAGTATACTCTCCAGTTGTTATTTAGTCATTGCTAGTTTGAAATCCCAATTTTATCAGTTTTGTTCTAGGGGACTCAGACAGAGATTTCATGTAACTGTGAGGCGGTGATGGCAGGAGTATTGGGTAGAGGGTGAGAAATAAGATGCCATGGTATCAGAGCCGAGGCATTAGTCTGTGTGGGCTCTGGAGCTAGATCATGTTGACTCTACCACTTACGGCAGGGGTGGGGGTAGGTACTTTAACTCCTCTGTCGTCTTTTGCCATTTGCAAGATAGGATGGGAACAAAATTTCGTCCGTGGGGTTGTCGTGAGAAATGAGGTGACATTAAACTAGTGCTGGGTCGGCATATAGCAGTTGCGCAGCAGCTCCTGCTACCTCTGCCGCTCTGTTACTGTTGCTTAGATGGATGACTGAAGGATCAGGAATCTCAGCCATGCAGTCAGAATTGTGGGAACAAGGGTGTTCCGCGGTATCCCAAGGCAGGATCACACTGCAGCTTACTACCACAACTGTAGACATTAGGTCATCCTCTGTCCTGTGTCTTTTAAACAAAATTCTGCATAAACTTGTCTCATCTTACTTTTTAATGTGCTTAGTACTCGGTCGTGTCCGACTGTTTGCAACCTCGTGGACTGTAGCCCATCAGACTCCTATCTATGGGGATTCTCTAGGCAAGAATACTGGAATGGATTGCCATGCTCTCTTCCAGGGGATCTAAGACCTTATAACTAATATTTGTTAGATAGCAAGAGTACAGGCTAAAATTTTTCTAACCATAAATTATTTTAAATGTAATCATTTATATAACTTGAGGTTTTTTTTGTTTTTTTTTGTTTTTAGATCTGGAATAGTACCCAGTTGGAGTTCCTGAGGTACAGAGTTCTACAACCAGGCAGGATAAACATTCTCTTGCATCCTAGAGAGGCTCCTTAAAGTTTCTCA